ATAAGTTTAAATATTACTATTAGGTTTTAATATTATAAAAAAAAGTATGGAGTAAATTATAAAACCTATTAGATAGGTTAACTAAACTGCTAATAATAATATTAAAGAGTTTTAATTTAAACTTAATTAGATTTTTAATCCAAAAATAAATATTATAGATATTATAGCTAGAGATAATAGGAATTAAACAATCTGTTAATATAAATCTAGCTAAAGAAAAAGTTTAAAAAACTATATTTAGATTATTCTAATTAGTTCTTAATTACTTAAGAATTAATATTATCTATCAAAAAAAACCCTAATTAATTTCCTAAATATTTATAAGCTAAATAAACTTATCAAAATAAAAACCTAAGCTTTTTAATTTATATAGATAAAGTTAAAAAGAAGAAAAAAATTTGTAAATATATAAAGAGAATAAAAGTAGTAAATTAAAACAGAAAACCTCTAAAAATCTATATATTAAGTAAAAACAAAACTTAATTCATTTAAAAATACTATTAAATTAAATAACTATACTTTAAATAGATTTCTTTTTAAATAAAATAACTTAAATAAACATATTACTTAGAGAGTAAAACTTTAAAATCTTTATCTATTTTTAGTTATGCTTAGAAGATTTCTACTTTTTTGTACATAATATACTAAAAAGTTATAAAAAAATATTATTTATATAAAATAGAAAATAGCTTAAAACCTAACTTAAAGTGAGATTAATAGTTTAAAAGCTTAATATAACTTTAAATATATATATTTAAAACTAATTAAGTTTTTTTTTATTTTAATACATAAAAGATTTAAAAAATATATAAAAACAAAATAAAGTTTTTAGGATATTTAGTAATTTTAACTTAAAAATAAAAAGTTATATGAACATTTTTATAAACATTAAGTATTATTATAAAAAGAAATAGCTTATATAAATAAGTAAAGGTTTAATTAGTTTATAATAAAAAGAACTAAATAGATAAATAAGAAATATTTTTATTTTTACTTTTTTTCTAATATTTTCATTATTTTAATAATTAGTCTTTTTGAAGAAAATTAAATTTTTAAGCTTAACTTATAGTAGAAATATATTAATTTTTACTTTTTGAAAACTAAATAAAATTAGAAGTTATTAAACTTTTTTAGTTTTAATTAGTTTTTTTTAAAAACTCTTATTATACGTTTTTAGTTATTTAAAACTAAAATAAAATAAAATATTATAAAAATAATATTACTAGATTTCTTTTTCATAGTTTATTTTCTTTCAAAAGATTATATAACTTAAGATATAAAAAGAGTAGAAAATACAAATAAAATATAAATTAATTAAGTTTATATTTATAAATTCACTTGAATATCTCTTATAATTAGCTAGAAAACTAATACATAAATACTTAAATATTTTTAGAGGGGTTTTCACTTAAAGTAGAGTATTTAATATAATTAATAGGTTTTCTCTTTTACTCTATTATAATACTTTACTTTTAATATATTTATTTTACTATTTAAAGCTTTACTTAAAATTCAAAAAAACTTTAATCTCTAATCATAAAAAAGCTTTCTTAATAATATTTTGAAAAGAGGCATCTACTATAAATTTATTAAAGATATCTATATAAAACTTAAGCTAAACTACTTATTAATAAAAAGCTTTAATATTATTAGGAATATAAATAAAGTTAGTATAAAGTATTTAAACCTTTTAGTCCTAAATAGTATATTAGTTAACTTAGCTAACAATTTATATAAAAATATTTTTAAAGTTATTTCTATGTTCTATATACTTTTTTAAACATTAATTAGTTTTATAAGTATTTATTATTATTATTAAAAAAGTTAGAGTTTTTAATAATAAAGTTATTACTATTAAACTATTTATACATAATTTTTATCTTATAAATATACTTAGTAGTATTAATCTCAAATAGGAGGTTTTTAATAAACTATATATAGATAAAATACTTAAAGTTTATAATAATAATCTCTAATATAAAGCTTTAAGTATTTTAAGTATTTTATATATATAGGATTAATACTTCTTTAGTTACTTTAGAAGTTTAAATACTTTCTATATATTTACAATAAAATATAAGCTAATTTTAGTATTATAGCTATAATAATATTTAGCTAAGCTATTTTTATTCTTCTTATTTTTATGTACTATTTCTAATTAATAAAAGAAGTATATATTAGAAATAGAGGTATAAATATATAAAGGCTCTATAAGTATACTTAATATGCTTACTATAAGTTATACACTTAAGTATATAATATGCTTTAAAGTAAGTATAGCGCTAGCAGTATAACACTTTTAAATTAAAGCTATTTAAATTTTTAAACCCCTTTTTTCTAATTTAATAGTAAACTAGTTTTAATAGACATTCTTAAAGCCTATAGATAGTTACTTATCTTAGGTTTATAAACTCCTTCCTAAATATATTATATCTACTTAAAGTAGCAACTCATAACCTCTTAAGTGAGGATAGAACCTAACCTATGCTGTTTCCTAACCTTAGCACTATAGCTCTCTAACCTCTTAAAGCAACGTATCCCTCTCAAGCCAACTAACTTCACTTTGCCAACTCTTTTAAAAAGACCCTTGGAGCTTCACATTGCCATACCTGACTAAGGTCAACTCAGAAAATAGATTCTTCACTCACCTAAACAGCAGCAGTTCTTTCCGTCTCATCTCCCTGAGCATCTTCGACATCGCAATGCCGGCCCCTGATTACTAACGGCAATACTTTCGGTCAAGTAGCGACGATGGAGGATTCTCAACTCACATTCGACATTCCTCACGTGCTAGAAGAACGCTTAGCTCAAATGAAGCGAGAAGAAGTTGCGATGATCAGAGACCGGGTGAAGCAGATCAAGAACGAATTCATGGCACCGATGCCTCGCCAAGACATCGAAGCTCTTCTCGCTGACCGTCGGCTTTCTCGCACATTGGAAGCCAAGATCACTTGCACTGTCGCTCGCCAGATATGCCATCGTCATCAGCATCTTCGGGCAATCATCTGTGAACATCTCGTCCTGAAGGGCCAAACTCTTCCGGTGGCTGATTGACGACCTTTTTTTCGATGCCCAAGAAAGAACGAAAAAGATGACTGCTTACTATAACCAGAACATTTCCAGAGAGATTGGTATTCTCTTCTTTCACATGAGCCACCACCTTCTCCTCACGAAGTCTCTCGGCCTGCACCCACTCCTTGACCTCGATACCGCTGAAAATTTCTTGAGGGATATGCATGAAACCGAGAGAAAAATCGGAAATCGATGGAATCAAGTTGCCGCCCAGCTCAGGGAAGCCTTGGACAGGCAAGTAGTGGATGAGGTCGGAGAAGACATCATCTGCAATGAGCGGTTGGTCAAGCGCAACACCGATATGATCGCATCAAAGCTCGCCGACAACTATTGGAAAACATTGAAACATGCAGAGAAGCAGGTCTTGAAATTGTGTGCGACCAAAACCGGAGTAACATTCATGGATATACTCGACGCCCACACCAAGGCATTCAAAGACCGCGACAGAGACGCATTCCAAGTTGTCAAGCGCATCGGAAAAGAGCACCGCGAGACTGTCATCATGTTCAAGCACGCATCGGATAATGCCGAGTCACACAACGTCAAACTGGTCAATGAGCCCAGTGAGGATGATGTCACGGTCAACCATCAACCTTCAACTCACAATCCCAAGATTGTCAACACTCTGATTGACCGACTCTCTGATATTAGAAAGGAATAAGGCCTCGAAGCCTTGGCGATGAGATGCGCCAAGTCTACTGCGATAGGTATACTTGTCGCGTGGGGGGTTGTTTCCATCTATATGGAAGAAAACCATCTGGCGGCAAGCCTGGAAAAGATTCGGCTCCTTCATCAGATCGGACACCAGCGGATAATTCAGCATTGCATGGAAAGGGTCCAGGTGTTCTCCGAGGAGAGGAGTCGAGGCGGTCAGCCAGTCACCTGTTCCCAGCTCATGCAATATACCATGGAAGTCTGTAGGGACATGGAGAGGGAGATCGCACAAGATGAGGGGGGAATTCATTCTGACATCATATCGGAAGGACTGGGTTGGAGCAAAGCTACGAAGAATCAAGACCAGGGTGACAGACTTTAACAGGGATCTGAGCGGAACAGTGGCGACGGAACGATAAGAGTGCCAGGAAACGGCATGTGGATCAGCATTTGCAGACTCTTGGCCATAATCGATGAGTCTGTAGACACGCGGTTCTTGGGTTAAGCATTAGAAATGCAAAGAACCACCTCTAACCAGCCATATGGCGGTTTCTAGGATGAAGCAAACTTCCACGATCAATATGGAACAGCTGTATTGCGATGAGTCATATACTGGGATATCTTCGCGACTGCGACGTGTTCGTGATCATTGAGGATCGGGCATTCACACATTGAGTAGCGCGTCAACGACTCCATCATATAGGGAGTTGGGGGACTGCATATTGACTTACTTTTCGTCCAGGCATGTCTTTGCAAGAATCTGAACCAGGCGATAGCGGGCCACTTTTTCTCTTTCATCGACCGAGACCAGTCTGCAGGCGATGATACCGATTAGGTTCCCCTTCAAAGCCGGTCGGGACAGGGGTTGGTGCCTGCACAAATCAAAGTGCCGCCAGATGCCAAGATATATAGCTAAATACTGTATTTTCGGAGGCGCTGTCGAGGATCCAAGGGCTTCCTACCGTCTAGAAGCTAGGAAAAGGGAGAACAGGCATTCGTTGGAACCCGTGGTGCGGGCTGAAGAGATTATAGGGCACAATCGGGTCCCGGGATATTGCAAATACTTGATCGTTTGCGGGAAGCAAGATCGTGGAACGGTAGAAAGACGCATAACCAGATGGATCCCTTTGAAGAACAGTAAAGTGGTATTAAACAGGTGGATTGAAGAAATGTCATGTACAATATGCGTTGAAATGCCGCTCCAAGTGAAACAAGGTAAACCTCTTCCTCCGATCAAACCATATCATGATAATAGTGAGTGAACAAGCATAGCCCTACAAAGGCGGGGCATTGGGATCCATCATACACTGATCGACTCTCATCAGTTGTTTCCCAGTTGCCTTCGCCTTCTGAATGAATGTCCTCAAGTAGGAGACGGTGCTGGGGTACAGGTAGTGCATGACAACCAGGGAGCCGCCCTTGTTCAGGTCACGCTGGAAAGAGTCCAGTTGCTTCTCGGGAGTGTCCGACTGAGCATAGAGCCAATCCTCGACGTCAATGTTCCAGTTGACGATGTAAGGGTTGTCATCCTTAGTGGATCGGACGAGTTGCTGACGCATGCGAGCACCCTCGTTACCGAAGGGAGGTCGGAAATACTTCGTAGTGATACCGAACATTTCTTGAACAGCCTTAATGTCCTGGTCGTACTCCCAAGATATCGCGTCATTGTTAGGCAGGCCCTCCATACGAGGGTGCGTGTAGCTGTGAAGGGCGATCTGGTGGCCCTGGCTCATCATGTCCTTGTAGATGGCACTCAAATTGGTGCTGGAGTCCCGCAGAGGTGCACCGACCGTGAAGAAGGTTACTTTAATGTTCTCCGACTTGATAACCTCCATGACCTCCTGGGCGAACTTCGGGTCGCCATCATCAATAGCAAAAGCGATCGAGTTGGGACGCTTGCACGCAAAGATGAGATTCCCAGACGGCAGCTTCTCTGGGATCAGAACCTTGGCTGGGACGGACGGGACGATCTCAACCTTTGTCAAGGTGACAGCTTCGTTGGTATAGAAACCCTTGAAAGCGATACCTATCGCACGCTTCCGCTGAATATTGAAGTGAGAGATGGGAATGTAGATATCGTTGCCAGTTGCGTAACGTGCAGCCTCAAGAGAATCCCATGTCTCAGGGAAGGGCGAGGCAGTCTCGTCGCAAGCTTGGTTGTGCTGTTGCATAGCAATCGAGAACTTATTGCTTCCAGAGTAGGCCACATGGAGATAAGAACCGTCATAGCCGGTCATATCGGCACACTTATCGGAGAGCTGCGTGTAGAAGGAGAAGTCGGCATCTGGCGCCTTGATGGTGACCCTGTTCGTGCCCCAAGTGAGAGCAGTATCGACGTCACCTCCATGCCAGTAGCCAAGAGAGTTGGAGTCCTTCTTTGAGAAATTATCAACAATCTTGACCGAGCCAGTACTGCTCGGGGCAGGGACGGTTGAGACAGCAGCAGTGTCGGTTGGTTGAGTCGCGACAATATACTCAGATGGTGTGTTGCCGCAGTAGAAAGCCATCGGGCCGAAAGTCACATCCGAGGACAACGAACCAAAGAGAATCGTTGTCATCTTGGATAGGTCGGCACCCGAGAACTTGGAAAAGGGGATGCTGTAGAGCTTCTCTTGGCCGTTGAATGTCCACCCGAGTTCCTTTGATGTCTTGGTAGCGAAGGCAGAGTCCTCCCCGCACGTTGGCGACGAGGCCAGCTGGATGGATAAGGTCGTGCCGACCTTGGCCTTGATGCGCAAGGAAATACCGCCGTATCCCTTCACCTGTGTGTTGGTGCAGGCAACCTTGCTGTAAAAGTAGGAATCCCCACCGTTGGGCTTCAGCGTGACCCGATTTCCCGAGACAGTGATCTCTTTCATCGTGCTATCGTCACTACTGGGCTGTAACATGGCGTTGTAGTAAAGAAATGTCAGTCGCGATTGCGAGGCCCAGTCGTCAATCAAGAGATTACTGCAGCTCGAGGATACCGGCGAAGATTGGGCGGCAACGGAACTAGATACAGTCGAAGAGCGAATGCTCGATGACCCGGACGCGGTGGGGACAGTAGAGACTGAGACGGAAGTTAGAGACATCGATCTCGAAGCAGCTGCGCGCGAGGTTGACGAAGAAGCGTTCGATGTACGAGAGCTTGAAGGAGATTTGGTTTGGCGGGATGAGGAAGCAGACGTACGAGATGATGGGCCCGTTTGGATAACTGACATGGTCGTGGAGCTTGGCGATCGTACCGAGGTGGCGAAGGATGAGGTTGTGCCAGAGGAAGCGCGAGCCGTGGGTGACGCCGCGCTTGTTGAAGACGAAACCGCAACAGAGCGAGAAGTCGACACAGAACCAACAGTGGTGGTAGTGGCTGGGGCAGTCGAAATGGAGGGATTCGACCCGCCGCTGCAGGTGAACTGGAGATTGCTGAATTGATAATTGTCAAACTTGGAATAGGTTGACCAGACGAAGGCTGAGACTGCGTCCAAGTTGGCGTTTGTGAAGGATGATAGCGCGATAGAGATGTTTTGGGTCGAGCCAGTCAACCCGTTGATCTGGACCCATTGGCTGTTGTAGTTGTCATCTGCACAAGATGCCTTGGTTTGTATCTCCAGCATCATGGAGGCATCTTTAGGTCCCTTGACCGTCAAAGAGAGGGCATTATAGCCTTGGGTGGCCGCCTTGACGCAGCCGAGAGTCTCGTAGTAGTAAGAGGAACTGTCTGTCTTTGGAGTGAACGAAAGGATGCCCTTGCTGATGGCGACCTTTGACATGGAATTGTCTTCGCTGGTCCACGCATCGAGGTTGTTGCTACCGGAAACGGTAGATCGTGAGAAGTTATCAATTACAAGATTGGAGCATGCCGCCTGGGCAGCTCCGGCTAGGCCCAGAAGGCGTAGCAGGGTAGAAGACATTTTAATGATGTACAGCCAAGTTGGTATGTCTAGTGAGAAAGAAAGGCACTCCTCGGGCGAGGAGTAGAGAGAAAGACTAGGGGTCAAAGCCGATGATGATGTTGAGAGTGATGGAGCATTTTCTAGTAACAGGGAGGAGACGAGATGGTTTATATATCTATATATTGTGTCTTGATGCTGATATCTTACTGGCCTGCTTTAGTGGCAGAGCCGGATTCTTCGCAGGGCCTTCACCTCTGGTGTAGCATCGGACACTTGTCCAGCTACCTGACGGGTAAGCAGTTGGTAGATGGCTCAGACGCAGTGCCATGCCATACTAACTCAGGTGTAGAGGAGGAGCATTATGGGTCCTTGGCGTTGGACAAAGCATGGAGGCCAGCTTAGACTGCTACGCAGGATTCGCGAGAACGCTAAAGACCGCCTCACGACCTGGACGTTGAGCGTTGCCCCCCCCGATGAAGAAGCGTTGTGGAGACGAACGTCCTGCCAAGCGAACAAGAAATCCCACATGGCTAATTGACGAAGAAGGGCGTTGTGGCTTAATGGCCCGAATACTTGGTAGTGGCTTCGAGACAAACAGTTACCGCCATGTGGTCAGAGAGATACACAAAGGGCCATCGAGTATGTGTTGGAGGGTAAAAAAAAACCGGCCCTTCATCTTTGTCTGTAAGGAGGAGGAGGTTAGGTTCGCGGTTTTAGGGGTCTGTAGAAGTCGAGAAAATGTCGGCTTAGGAAAGGCGTGAAAAGACAAACAATGAAAGAAGAGCGGGCCAAGTCGTTGAACATTTCATCCAACGCAACTCGAAACAAGACAACACGAGGTGTGGCAAAAGGAGATGAGGTTTTGGTGCACCGTCCTGTTGGGCTAGCCATATCCGGTCCATGCCGAACAAGCAAGACAAGACCGCCACCATCAGGTGAGCGCTGCCAACGCTTTCTTGAACGCGTGCTTCAACTTGTCTGCTGCAACTATCCAAGAGATCTTCGGGTGATACCCGTTTTGGCTGGCCTGACAAGTGAAGCCATTTTCATCATGAAGGTCGAGGTGACACACAAACTTTTCTGATGCCCCCTTTGTCGCTCACTAGAGGAACATGAAACAAGTGAAGATGTGCATTCTAGCGTCGTAGCTTTCCTCAGCTAAGCCAAGTGCCTGGATCGGTTGCAAAAATAAACATGAAATTAGCCACGTCCCCCACACTTGACGGGTCAGTGCAAAGCTGCGGTAAACCTGGGAAACGAATTTAGCCGTCGAAGGCCATCTTCTTTCTCCTGGCATCCAGGCCTAGCTGTGTCCATGAATCTCAGCGCGAGTTGCGACACAAAGAGCGAAACCAGCCCTCGCTTCACACGGCTTTTGATGAGAAATAGACGGGGGCCGTCTGGGATGGCGCGCCACAGTTTCTCATCCCCAGGTACACCATCATCTCCAGAGACCCTGTCAGCTTGATAGGCTTGATGATGGAATATGCGTCAATGAGTTCGCAACATGCTATCGTTCCCTCCGTTGTGCACCAGTGGTCACTTCCTGGGCTGCTGGCCGACTGCGCCCTATCAGTCTGGTCGCTATACTCCGCAGGCAGTCCTATCTTTATGGGGGCCATGGGCTGGTTGTCAATAACATTCGGCGTGTGTTAGTGCCCAGGCAGATTTGGCCTGTAGCAGCAAACGTACGAATGGCGGATGCCATCACCGCCGTAGCGCGAGTCCAACCTGGCGGCATGGACGGGTGACTGGTGTCCTGATCACTCTATGGCTTCCAGTGTCCGCCGCGGCTCGTTCATAGCAGAACGCAAGTACTATGAGGCCATTGACCAGACAACGTGACATTGGAGGAAGTGCTCACTCACATGAATACTTGGAAGGTCGCATCGGGCCCGTAGCTGTTCGTAAAGCATCGCTTGGTGGATGTTGTTTTGGCAAAGACCTTCCATGGTTGCCAAGCGATGGTACATCGACATTCGATGCTCGTTCAAAACCCTAGGTTGAGCGACCTGAATCGTGCAGACGGATCAGGAGAGTTGCGGCAGAGGAGGACGAGAGTCCTGGCGGCGGCAACGCGAGAAAAAAAGTGACGGGAGAGCTATGGGTGGCTGCAGGAAGGATGGGCTGTGAAGTATGATGGAGTTTGAACTATTCATGGGCTAGACTGAATGTTGTCGAGGTATCCACGATGTGAGCAGTGTCGACGCCAAGTTGTGGTTTGGCCCAGGGATCCGACGTGTTGGTTGTCTGTTCAACCGGATGGTTCCCGTAAGTGTGACGGGAGGGCGCTGTCGACCGTCGACCGCCGCCTTGGTCTCAAAGCACCAGCGGCAATGCGATGCGGTAAAGAGACAGCTGCTTGACGGCGAAAGTGGTAATGCATGCAATGGGGGAGGGTTTCCGGGCGTAGGTTCCTCCCCAGGAGAGACGGGACTCGGGAGTGTGGTTGCCAAGACGAAGAGTGATCAATGCGTCGCATCGTGGGCCTGGGACTTGGAACTGGGGCCCGGGAGCGGCAGCACCGCCGCCTGCCCTGTGAAGTGCAGACGGCCCAGGAACCGATGAAGCCCGGACCGCACTTAAGGTCATTCGAAGGCAAGACAGAAGAACACGGCTGTGCTTGGATCTGCTTCTGGCTCGTTCGCGGCCGCTCACGGTCATGTGATCCTACATATGTAGCCTGCAGAAAAAGTGCATCACGTAAGCGACTATGTGTCTTTGTGTTTCACGGGTTGAGGGCGCGAGGACCAACAAGCCAGGCGCATGCTTCTGGTATCAGACGTCATAAATGACGAAAACGTAAGACCAATAACGTCTGTCAAAAGCCTAAAGGGACTCCGATGGCAGAAACGCAGCGCAGGTCGGAAAGCCTTGGGTTGAGAAGGCAAAAGAGCGGCTGAGAAAGGCCGTATGACTGACCAGTATGTGCCTAATCAGTAGTAGATGGTGGGATGGGGGGGGCATCTACTACCTACCTTACCGTAGGTATGTGTTGACGGGCGCGGGGTAGGGCAGCCCAGCAGAACACTCTGTCAGGTGGGCAAAGAGTTGCCAGCTGACGGGAAGGCAGCAGCAGGCCGGATGTCGTGGTAGATGGTCGACCCATCGTCATCGGCGAGCCCACGCGCGTGTCTTGGTCAGGGGCTAAGATGGGAAAACGGCAGACGGACGCCCTGCGCCCTCTTGGTACTCGTCAGGAAGGCACTTGAATGCGCCGGGAGTCGGCGCTGGCGCTGCTGACGCTCGTGTCGACTTTGACTGGGCGGTGCATGGATGACATCACTTTGGCGGACGGCGACGTGACTCTGCTGGTTCATCCTTGATGACTGACTGACTGATTCGGTGATTCCAGACCGCAGACCGCGGCCAAACGCAGCTGCATGCAGTTGTCACCAGTCGCACTTGCCCACTTATCCCGCAGCGGGGGGACAGAGTAATATGATTTTATCGAGTTTATTGTTTCGCTATCTACATAAGGCTATCCCTTTATAATACTTATTTTAGTACTAGATTTTACTAAATAGTTTATATTATTTAATTTTATCCTCTAAAAATTACTTCTACTACTTTAATTCCTATTTATTAAACTTATTTAAAATTACTATATTATATTTTATATTTATATTAATACCCTTAATTACTTAAACTAAATATTATTTAATTTACTTAAATATCTTTTTATTCTATTTAGTATATATAAGAGTATTATATCTAAAGATAATTTTAAGTGTTTGTTCTCTATTAATTATTCTTAGTATTATAATATATATATATATATAATTATAGTTATAATATTAATTATAAAAATAGAAGTTTTACTATTTTAGTTGATAATAAATAATTATCTAAAGATTAGATAAAAAGATTTATATTAAGAAAATTACTATATTTATATTATATTATATGGAAGCTATTATAATAGTTTTAAAGTAATAACTATTAAAATATAAAAAGTTAAATTGAATAACTAGAAATTTCTTCTCTTTAAGGATTTTATATTTATAAACTAGCTTTTTAAAGTTTAATTTATAAAACTAAACTTTTACTTTAGTAGTAATAAAACGTTATTATCCTTAAAATATTTATAGATAGACTTTTAACATCTTTAGAGTTATTCTAATCTAGAGGTATATACGTATACTATATATAGGTTAAATAACACAATAGAGTAAACTACACAGAATAGGGAACAAAATAAAAGCACTTGCCCACTTACGCCCTATTCCCCCCTCCCCCGTCGTCCCCCACGCTGCTGGGTATAGGTAGGTAGAGTCGTGTAGGTATCTCAGGGTAGCCGCCCCCGGCTTGCCCAGCTGATTTGATTGGAGGATTCGACTCATTTCGGCCAAAAACAGGACCAGCTGCATCATGTTCTGCAGCATCTTCAGTGTGCAGGAGGACCGCCAGCACCGTGCTGCGTGTGCCACATGCACACACCCCTCCAACCTATGTCCGACACTGTCTCTAGCCACGCCCCAAGCTTTATCATGCTGCATCACAACCACCTACCTCACCTATCGGTCTTCTTATCGCCCGCATGCCCGCTGAGCCGAGACGATAAGCCCGCTGCCATCCTTTTAGGTACGATGAAAAGCACGAAAGCCCAGGTCATGCCTGGGTGCGGTGAGATGCCTAAGCAAGCACCCCGAGACAACCCGAGAGATAAGCAGCTCGCTCTCGTCGCGGTTCGTCACTACCATCTTCCTTCTCTTTCGTTCCTCGTCCTCGACTTCCGTCCTCGACTTCCTTCGTCTCGTCCCGTCCCAGGCCTCAGCCCGGTTTGTTAGCCTCCCGTGCCACTTTCCCTTGTGACCAGAACTTGCCTTGATAACGTAAGGATACCTGAGCCATCTGGTCTCAAGGTATATACCCAAGGAATCCCGCAACCCCGGCCTTCGTCTTCTGACTCGTCTTGCCTTTGTTCCTCAACTACCTCATCAACATTCATACTGCCCCAACCCTGTACTCTTGTATATGTCTTTGATTCTAACCGCATCACTCGCCTAACACCCACCTCTTCATCAAACTGCTTGCGCCAACAAGTTCTGTGCAAACTCATATACTCGTCCTTCTTTTCATCTCGCTCTATCTTGCTCTCGGTTTCCCTTTTTCGTAACCCCCCCCCCGGATCCGCGCCTCTTTCGTTTTTGGCCTCGCGTTCTGCAATCTCCGGCAACCTTCAGCCCGGTGACTCACCGGCATCTACTGCCCCAATACCAACACAGTGATTACCTCACAAGCCTCGGTTACCTCTCCTGCTACCCAGCACCACCAGCACCACGCCTTCCTTGCCTTAGCCTCCGCCTTGCTTCCAAAGTCAGTCCGAGCACCGAAACGGGCATAACCTCAGAGATTCCTTCGGCTACCTCTCTTATATCTCCCGTCATCTCTCTCCCAGCAACTATCCACACCTACCCGTGTCTCGATTCTACGTGTCGAGCAAATCGCCCAGACTATTATCGCTATTGACAGAGAATATAAGCTTTGTCGACTTAGGTTCAACTCTTCGAACCTGCCCGCCCCTTTGTCATAGAAACGCGACCGGCGACGCCACGTCACAGAGCCTTCCGGTACAAATTCGAACACATACAAGCATCATGGCTGCCATGACCGATGTCCAGGCTCAGTACGAGCGAGATCTCCGGAGCGCACACCAGGACTACAAGAGGACCAAGGATTCCCAGTCCAAGTGGTCCAACGGAGCTCGTCCGCTCGCAGGCTGCCGATTAGACTGGGCCACCCTCGAAGCTATTGGAGGCACTGAGCAACAGCGCGCCAAGACTCGTCCCAGAGGCAAGAACAGCGAGATGTACGTTTTTTTGCTAGATCCCGAACCGAGATGTCGCTGACACTACAGATAGTTCCCACTTCAAGAAGATGCAGAACAATGTGATGAAGGGGCGATCGCACTGGGCGCCTCACCAGGGCCGTCTCAACTCGGCGCTGCAGGCCAAGGAGCAAATCAAGGATCCCCTCAGCCAATCTCTCATGGACCTTGCCCCTTCTCAGGGCGGCTGGAAGAATCTTGCTGCTTCAGAAGACTGGAAGTACAGTTTCGATAAGGCGGAGAGCCCCAACCGCCCCCTGACGCTCGATGTCTTCATCAAGACCTCAGGCCGTGAGACGGAACGAATGGTCGAGAAAGAGTATGAGATTCTCAGTGAGAACGGTCAAGTTCTGAAGGGTCGCAAAGCGCGTCAGAACCTCCGTCAGGAGCACATGTCCGCTGCGGAGGATGAAGGCTTTCAGCTTGTTTGATTTGCAATTCACCAGCTGCTCTGGCTGGGCAGCATAAGACAATTCTCGAACGACTGTATGATGGATGTATTAGCGATTCGACGGAGTGGGCGTTGAGGGTTCAAGCATGGCATCGCGGCAACAGGCTTGAGAGGGCTTTGCAATAGCACATCATGGTTTTTGGGACATTGTTTTGGCGTTGGGTCATGAGAGATGGAAGCATTGTGTAGCGCAGGATTGCGCTCCGTTCCTCTCACTAAATTAACCATACGGATAGGTAGTGCAAGTAGACGAATGGCAAAAGACCATGCAGTCCAACCACGCAATGTTAATGGAAGTGGTAGATGATGTTTCCTCAATACCGGAGACGCATCGCGTTTCGACTTTTCCTGATGCGTCGTGGGTCGCGGCAATCACGGTTCATGAACACTAACGACATGGGTAGTTCGTTGCCTCAGGATTGGTTTGGCTCAGCAAACGCGTCCAGGATGGCGATCCTCGAGCGGCCGACGTCAGTTGCCGTAAGTGGCTAGGTGCAGATGGGGAGCGAGCAAGGGAACGCTGCGCCGCGGGGCTGAAATTGATGGTGCCTAGAGGCATGGAGATTTCTGCCTTCAAGGCACCCAGTGTAAGCCATGGGCGTAAGCTGAATCCATACCGTCGGAGCCATGGACGCTGGTCTCGGAAACACTGGCTTTTGATAAGCCGTTCCCCTGGTCTAGACAGCCGCGCAAAGATACTTAATAAAGCACCCTGACTTATCTTGCCTCCAGTGCGAGTAAAGTTGAGCTCTTCTCAATTCTGGCCTCGCCGTGCCGCCGCCGCCCCCCCGCCTGCCGAGATTCTCGAGGTTCGGCTTGAATTCAAACTAATCAGGTTGGATGTTGCATTTCACCCACCGCACTATCAAGTACTCGGAGACGCGCCTGCCAGAATGACGACCGTTGACGAGTCTATGCTGCCCCCCTTACCGTCGACGCCGACGCCGCCTCCACCTCCTCCTCCGACATTTACGGCTTCGTCGGCCCCAAGGGCTTCAACGCAATCGGCGCCAGCACCGATACAACCTACGCCAGAATCTACACCATCTACATCTCTAGTGCAAGAGAAAAGCTTGCTAGCAGCCCGCAGCCGTAGCTACGACGACGTGACACCAGACAGTGCCAGCTCGTTGACCCCACCGCCCTATTCTGGCCCATCCAACTTCTCAGAAACGAATGTTTCGATCCGAGCTCAAGAAAGTCCAGGACCCATGTACTACCCAGGCTTACCAAGACTAGACTACAAGCTCTACTCACCGCCGAACTTCAGCCTGTCGACAGACTGTATCGTTCTCTCTTCCAGGTCAGACCATCTGTCAGCGAGCGCCAATGCCCTTCTATCCCTCATCAGGACCCAGGCAAGCATCCCGCCCAAGCCTCTCATACACATGAAAGGGACGCGAGGACGCAAGGTCGACTTCGACATCAAGCTCAATCTGATGGGATTGCTGGTGCCGGATGACACGAGCAAGCGCATGCAGTACATTCGCTGTGTCAGTGAGGGCGAGATGGCGTACAGGGGCGGAGTAAAGCCAGACGTCATTCCCGAAGTTGGCGAAAGGGAGCTTGAGGAGTGGTGCCGCCGCTTTGTTGAAGATCCAGCGCAGGTCAAAAGTTTCGGTGAGGACCCTATCCAAACCGTATCTACTTTGTCGAACTGGGTAACTAACAGAGTGCAATATAGCACTTGATCGAGTAGTTGCAAACTTGGACACGATGTGGATCGAAGGTCAATTGCGAGCCCTGTTGGCCGCGACGCAGTACAAAGGAGTGCTCCATGTGTCGTTTCCCGTAACGCACGCCAAGGTGGTGGTGCAAAACCAGCCGAAGGCAAACAAGTTCATGACGAGCATGAAGAAGCTTTTCTCGGGAAAGCACAAGTATGAAGTGGTGCAGTCAGTTTGGCCATTTGCGACGGCGAAAAGCGGTGATGAAGGCAGGAGATGCGCTGTACAAAGTGAAGAAGTCTGGTGGCGGGTAAGTCTTTCCCCAAACCTGCTACTTGCCGCTGTGTACAGTGCTTGCCCACCTAGGTATCTAGGCTCGCTGACGTGTTTGCTCTTCGTAGGAGTGGCGGGACCCGATCAGATACGCAGTCTCGCAAAAGAGACAGAACGGCGCATACGTGACTAATGAGGATAAGCTGGAGGCTTTGATGGAGGGCAAGGGTCAAGATTCAATTGACTGGGGAGGAGTTGAAGCGATAGACATGCCAGATGAGGCCGAGCTGGAGGGATAGATAGAGAGGTCATCGAAGAGCCCATATTAAACAAACCTAGGTGCCTAGGTACCTAGGTAAGGTAAGGTAGTAAGGAATACAGTGCAGGAATGATCGGCCAACCTAAGGCACCGGACCTATTTCAAGCACGTGTCTGTGACGTTGCCAGCTGGTCTCAACTGGGCGCACGGGTCCAAAGAGACTCGAAGACCCAACCGCTGGACCGGGAACGCACTGCGGATTTCGAGGCAGTGCTTGTCGCATTTTACAACTCCAACTGAGTCACCGGCGGACTCGCTTCCATAGCACAATCTTTTTTGGACAAGCCCCCCCAATTCCATGAGTCACAAAACCGCAAGCCGGCTTTCTTTAGGTGGTTAAGAGGATGACAGCGAGACTATGCGGGCCTTGCTCTGACGCATACGGCCTGGCCATGTCACGATTGTACATCATCATCCGCGCGTGGGCTTCCCCGCAGTCCACCGCTGCAGTAAGTTTTCCTTCTAGAACTTCGGCAATGCAACAATAGCTCTGGTTGGACACATACATGGGTAGGCCGTTTGAAACTAAACATGGCTGAATGGACCCTGGATCTACAAGGGTACTCTCTGTAGCAACACATCAACATCTTTGCGAGTTGGCTCTTAAAGATCACAACCCCCTAATCACTTCATCTTTATACACAACCCAGTATCAGTTTCGCGCTCAATAGACCTCTTCCCTTCTTTCATTGTCTCTCTTACACCCTGTCCGCATCGCATTCCCAGTCCGGAACATTCAGGCACCTCAAGGCACAATCATCACCATATCCCTCGGTCATACACTGGTCTCTGTTCGGCAGAGCTCTCCGAGTATTATGGAGTCCCAAGCAGCAAGCCACGCCACAGCTCTCTGTATCATCCCCCCAGAGGAGCATTGGACGGCAATCAATCGTCTTCGCTTTGACAACGACAAGGCCTACACGAAATGGCCCCCTCATGTCAATCTCATCTATCCGTTCGTCAGATCCACGGAGAGTAGCGTGCTGCATCAGGCTTGTGATGCCGTTGTATCGTGCCTGAAGGACCGTGCCGCCTCAGGCGAGCTCGCTCCCCTGCCTATCCGTCTTGATTCACCGGGCTTTTTCTCCCACAAAAATGGCAGCACCCTCTTCTTGCGTGACGAGAATGAGGGGAATATCTCCCGGCTAACATCGCTGCGAGGCGCCATACTCGCGGCCATCGGCCAGAGCCGGTCAGAGCCCTACAATATGCACCTTACGATGGCTCAGTGCGAAGACGCAGCTCCTTTGTCTAAGTTCGAGTTCTTGCTTGACAAGCTTCGTCGGCTACCAGCCGTAACCTGGGAGGCTAACCAGCTCTCAGTCCTGGTTCGCAGTCCTTCTGGACATATGAGGCAATGGGGTGTCATTGACCTAGTTTCCCAGTCCTTTAACATTTGCAGACATGCTCCCAATTCCAGCTCGGATACACCTTCGCCAACCATTCCGCGGCCAACGTGGTATTTCTCCCGTTCAGACATGGCGTGGAAACGCCTGGTCCAACCATCTGAACCAGAGGTCTTCGACAACAAGCAACACGGGAATCTTGTTGTCGCTAGCTGGAACGTACTAGCAGAGTTTCATTATCCCCCATCCCGGACCAGATACTCCTTGATCGTGGAAAATCTACTCGCAGAAAATGCGATTGCGGACATCGTAGTCCTCCAAGAGGTGACAGACGACTTTCTAGCCTTTCTGCTCGCAGATGAACGCATCTGCAAAACGTATTTCTACGTCTCTGAGGGTTCGCCAAATGACGCTGAGGCTGGCCCCCTGCCCAACATTCTCAACACTGTTGTGCTCAGCAGGGAACCATTCTCGTGGGAATACCTGCCCTCGAAGAGACAGCATAAAGGATCAGCCATTCTTCAGTTCGAAGAACTCCTACACAATGATACTCAGGAACCAGTCCTTCCCCTTGTCTTGGCAACCTGCCATCTAAGTCAGGGCCTTACAGATGGCGCGGTCGTTGCTAAAGAAAAGTAATGGATTATTTCGCTGAGTCCAGAAATGCGGAGCTGACTGTGGTTGACAGGGAATTGCAACGGATCCTCAACCATCTGAAGAGTAATCACGCAGCAAACCAATGGATCCTGGCCGGAGACTTCAACATAGCCACTTCTTCTTACACTATCGACGCAGCAGTGAAACGCGGCTCCATTACGGTACAGACAGAGGATCTTCTTCGTGGAATCGAGGCAACTCTGGCAGAGACCAACTTCCTGGACACGTGGTTTATCTCTCGTGTCGAGGCCGGCGTCAGCGACAATATCAAGGGCGATATCCACGACAGTTTTGAAGGCGAACAGGGTGCCACATTTGACCCCAGAGCGAACCCTCAGGCCGTGAAAATGGTCGGAAGCGGCCTGAACAACCGACCACAGAGATATGACCGCATTCTAGTGAAAAATGGCGGTCCCTTTCACATCTCTCGGTTCAACATGTTTGGCTTCCTCACTGGCGATGGCGAGAGTCCAGGTGGACCCCTTTACGCAAGCGATCATTGGGGTATTCGCTGCCTTTTACGGCGTTCTTCACTAAAAGATGGCTCCAGCACCAGTGCTCGAGTCGTCCCTGTCGAGGCTAAACGGGCACCTGGATCTATGTCTGATGTCACCGCTCTAAAGCAGACTTTGGAGCTTCTCGATGTTGTCCCGGCAGAAAAAGATGAGCGTACCCGGAAACAGGCCCTGGGGCTGCTACGAATGATTCTTTGGGAGAACGAACAGACGAATGTGGAGCAGTCGCGTGGTCAACCGGCCCTTGTACTAGTTCCTGTCGGATCGTATGGTCTTGGCGTATGGTCGAAATCGTCCGATATTGACTGCCTCTGCATCGGATCAATCAGTCCTCGCGTCTTCTTCACTCTTGCCAGGCATCGTCTGAGAAAGTCGGTCGGAGAAGGTGTCCGAATACTACGGAAGGTGAAGGCAAAAACCGGCACTATGCTCGAGATCGAGGTCCTTGGGCTGAGATGCGATCTCCAGTATTGTCAGGCAGCGAGCGTTGCCAACCAGTGGCCAAACTTGCTGAAGCGTCCCCCATCTGATGCAGCTTTCAGCTTGCCAACCCAGACGCTCTTGAAATTGAAGCCTGCTAGGGACATGTACTACATTGCTAGGTCTGTCCCGGATCTTGCTCAGTTTCGCGTCTGTTATCAAGTGATCAAGACTTGGGCCAAGGCGAACGGGATCTACGCAGCCAAATTCGGATATCTTGGCGGCGTTCACTTGTCTGTTATGTTGGTTAGGGTTTGCAAAATGCTCCTACATGGCATGGGTACAGTTTCGACTGCCGACGTCATCGCTACCTTCTTCGACCACTATGCGCACTTCGACTGGAAGAACGACATTGTCTTTGATCCATTCTTCCACAAGCAGCTACGGTATCACCGGACGCCCAGAGAAGCCATGTGCCTTCTTGGATGGCATTCGCCGATACTTAACACCGCACTCATTGCTTCTGTTCCCACGGTCAAGATCATCTCGACGGAGCTACGCCAAGCCAACGCCAAATTCACGGAGGGCGCAACCTGGCAGTCTATTCTTTCGGCACCTGGCATGATCGCGGAAAAGGACTTATCACAAGGCGCCGCAAGCTTCCTTTCCTCGTTCAAAACGTTCGTGAACCTCCGCATTCACTACTGGGGAGGGTCGCTGGAACGTGGGAGTCGGCTTGTTGGTTGGCTCGAGTCCCGTTGCGCATCACTCCTCGTCGGTAAGCCAACTCATGATTGTACAGATCCCTAGCAGCCGTTTTCTGACCATGATTTAGACATCAACAGGAAGGTCCCGGAGCTTGCTCCGAGAATCTGGCCCGCGAGATTCGTCGACGCGGCGACACCCAACTCACAATGCCAACAAAGCGAATATCAAGGCTCGTATCTTGTCGGCCTAGAATGGATGTGCGAGGACGAGAGGCCAGAAAAGGAAACGCTGACCACGACGCACAGCAACCTGCAAGGCGTGCTGCATCAATTCGAAGAACATATTCACGGCGATAAAAAATACTACGATGCGACGACTTCCTGGTTCAGTGCGACTCTTGTCAAACGCACCGAGTTGGGAGATCTCAGGCTGGACAATCAAGAGTGGGGCGACTACGTCGACGGCGATGACGATTCAGAATCGGACGAGGAGGAAGACGAGGAAGACGAGGAGGATCTTTCAGTTTCGGGCCTACCGCCGGGAAAGCTGGGCAAGAAGGAGAGGGCGAAGGCGGCCACAAACCAGCCACGCTCAACGGTCGTGCCCAAACCCGAGGGTGCGGGCAAGTTCAGAACGGCTCTGGATGTTCTCAACAGACTGAGATGGGACGCTGACATGGACGGAAACGACTTCGTCGTCGGTTATGAAGATAGATTTCTAGGGGCACAGGAGAAGGCTTTGGTGGAGTGGAAAAGCGAGCAGACGCATGAAGAATTCATTCCGCAGCATAGAATTCTTTGGTTCAAGCGACGGAGCGACGGAGTCGTTGTTTGGGACAGATCCAAGCGTGTGGATCTGCTATTTAAAAAGACACCTTATAGATAGCTAGGCGCCGATCCTTGCGGTCGACGATATCCATGAGCTCACCCTGCAAGTAAACCTTTGCATTTGCCAGTTGCCAATTTGTGTCCTCAAGTAAGTGGAAAACACACACATACACACACACACACACACGAAACCAGATGAATTCACAGTCAATTGCCGGGTCTGCTTGAGAATGCTATCCCCAACAGACACTTGATTATTGTTAATATCAGAAACGTTGATAGAGCTCATGTCCGTACTCTAGACGAGCGTATGTCAGGACGTGTATGATAGATCTGGCCCGCCGAACTATGAGTTGGTATCCGCATCCATAACGCCAAGCCCTCCCACCAAAGAAAGCCCAAGTAAACAGACGCCCCAAACTGCGCAGAAACCTCGAACAACTGGGTAGGTAGGCCCTACCGAAGAACGCCCCTTCTCAGTAGAGGGTCATGAATACAGCGGCGATGCCAGCCTTGTCGTATTTCACATGCTTGCCCTTGCCCTTGTCGACCTCATGGTATCGGTCCCAGAATCTGTTGTACAAAGGCTCAAGCATTTGCTGAATGTCCCTGGCAAACATTTGGCGTACTTCTCTTTCCATGTTATATGACTTGTGACGGGTGACCATCTCGTCAAATGATGCGTTAAACGCCTGGAACTTACCCTTGATGTTGTCCTTGTCCCTGCTGCTCAGGCCCTTGAGGATAGAGGCTGAATCAGCTTGCCCGGACGTTGGTCGCTGCTTGCTCGTGTGAATAACATCAAACAAGTGGGTAGAAACTTCCTTGCAGTCCATCGTGTACATGGAAGTCGCCTTCTTGCGCCACTGGTCCAACATGCCCATCCGCTGCTCCAACAAGGGGGCCAGATCCGAGTCACGAATCATCCGCTCAATGATGACCACGCTATTGGCGAGAAACACCCCGATGATGCCTCGTCCCTTGAGGACCATCTTCGCTTTCTGGTCAAGTGATGACATCAGCATGTCAACTGTATCTGCGCAATAGTGTGCAAAGATTTCTTTGCCATCAGCGCCGATATCGAACGAAGCCAGGCTCGGTATCACATCGGTAGACCGTCCATCAGTAGCAGCGCTGGACTTCCAGCCACCATCGCCCAAGGAGAACATTATGCTGGAGACAGGGCGCAAAAACTCGACCATGGTCTGTAGACGCTGCATTGTCTCGGACACGATTGATATCGGAGCGCCGTCTTGAGGAAGTGTCTGCATGGCGGTAACTCTTCGCCTGGTATCCTCTAGCAACTCCCCCAGCGATAATTTGGCGGTCTCACGAACGGGCCGAAGGGCTGCTGCAAGGGAGGATTTGAGCTCGCCAGTACGCGTTTCGAGGTTACTTGACAAGCCTGACATGATTTCGGTTATCTCATAGGCAAGGTAGCAGTCGGTGTGGAGGTGAGACTTGATGTGATTGTTCAATTCTCGTAGCGTGCGGGCCAACTCAGCCATGGCGGCCTGACATGTGGCCTGGAATAGGGGGCCCCAGTCTTCGCGGGTGAATATGCTGCAGATGTTGTCGTATTCGGCCAAAAACAGACCCTCCATTGCCTGAGCGTATGTGCCAATTCCGTTGGCGCCTGCGCGATAGATGGCGTCGGGATTCTTTTTCTTAGTCGTGTTTACGCTCGCGGCGGCCAGATTTGCCAGTGTAGAAGACAGATAGGGCCCGCGGATTTCGGCGTATATCTTGGCGGTAGAAGAATCTTGAGGAGCGGCAGCACCCCCGTTCTGGCGGTGATTATTGGATATATAGGCGTTGACCAAGCCAAGACGCGTAACCTTGTCCTGTGACAGAACAGGAAACGGCACATCCTTTGTGATATAGTGGAGCGGTTCTACTGAGCGAGGTGTTTCTCCCCGAAGCAACTTATCGAAGTGACTCTCAAGTTGGGAGTTGCCAGACTTAATCAAGCGTGTAAGTTCCGACATGGTCTGCTGGTTGGCGCGGAGATTGGAGGCCTGCATGTCGGCTAGCGATTTGCTGAGACGCTTGATGGAGGCCAGGTAGTTCGACAAGCCGATCCTGTCTGGGCCAGCACGAATGATCTGTTCCTCATCGTTTTTGCTGTCGGCCGGCTGACGCAAGCGCTCGATTGCGGAGAGGACGCCATCGATGTCTGTTGAGAAGGTCACTGGTCAGCTGCCGCTATTGCATGCTTCGTCGCTGTTTTCCAGCTCGGAATGGAGAGGCGGAAAGGGGAATGACCGCAAGTGATCTCCTGCGGGTATGGCAATAAACGCACTATTTCCTAGGATCTGTAGCTTCTTCGTCTCCCCGCTCAGGGGACCAGCGACCTCGCGCACACTCTTGCCCGTAGATTCCAGCCTCCCCATGCATGCCTGAATCTTCTTTGTCAATTGGGCTGTCTTCTCTAGACGCGAGTTTAGCACATCGACTTCGGCTCGAGCCTCCTCGTCGGCTGCATGGCGATTTGTCGCAGGCCCGACAGACATGATGAGTGCCAACGTTCCGAAGGGAGTTGCTGCACAGCGACGTTGGCAGGCAGATGTGGAGGGATCAGGGTGTCGGTTGCGGCCTGTGTTCAGCCCGGAGCTGACATGGGAAAGGCGAACGAATGTGGCGTTGTTGGTCGAGTCAGATAGGGCAGTATATGTTCGATGTTTTCGTGGCGGTCGCAGAGTGCGAAGAGATGTCGAGAGGGAGGTCAGGATGAACGGAGGGCCGGATCAAGCTGCTTGGATCCGACGAAGGGACTGACGTGGGATACAACAGCCTATTGTACCTGTGGGTGGGTACCTCCGTCTGCTAGGTCAGGGGTCAAGTGTTAATTGCGGCGCATGTTACGCTAAAGACGACAGGTAAAAGTACCTTACCTAACCTACCTATCCGTAAGGTGCCTCCAGTACAGACGAATAAGGGAGGCACAGGCACTGGACGTCTCTGAGGTCCAGGAATGCGGACCGGGACAGGGGTGTTTTGTTATGAAAGCCGATGCATGCATGCACCTACAACCAGCTCACCATGTGTGAGCTTCCTACCTTAGATAGTCTCCTAGATGATCTCCCGCCACATTGCAAGACAGCCACAGGACCACGGTGTCTGAACCTGAGCACTTTCATCCTATGCTGTCTCAATACCTCGACTACCTTAGCTTCCATATCGTACTCTTCTACGTGATATGCCTCTGCCTTGTCCTTGCAATGGACGTGCACAGTGAAGGCCCTAATTGTGAAGGATATGACACGTACGAGAAAGCAAGCAGAAGTCGGGCCAGGATTGGCATCCATTGTCCCTACATCCTAGGACGGGATGGAATGGGATGGGATGGGACGAGACGACAGAATTTTGTTGGGTTCAAATGTAAAGACTGACCCCTTACGGTAAAACACTCAATTGGCTGGTTCGGACGACACATGATAGCATATTCCAGTTATTGAGTTTACTTGTCATTGTTTGACATCCGTCGTCTTAGCACACGATCCTCCACTTTTCAGATCCCCTGAATTGCCAGCTTCGAGAAAAAATCGTTGACGAGCCGCGTCACCGTTTCGGCGACAAATGCAATCTCGTCCCTTGTCACCGTATATGGAGGCGCTACAATGATGTGATCCCCGAGAACACCGTCTGCTGTTCCTGAGCCCGGGTAAACAACAATGCCGTATGGTTCCGTCAACCCCAGCTCGTTGATACTCGCTGCGATTCGCGCTGTACTAGGCCATGGCACCTTGGTCTGTTTGTCGCGGACAAACTCGATTCCCCAGAAGAGGCCCTTGCCACGGATGTCTCCGACGTATGGATGGTCCATAAGACTCTCTTTCAAAAGACCAGATAAGAGCTGACCCATGTTTTGCACATTGGCAACCAGGCCGTCTGACTGGATGATCTGTTGAACTTCCAGGGCTGCCGCACACGCGACAGGGTGTCCTTGATATGTGTGTCCGTGGACAAAGGCACTATCGTCGCCAGCCGTTTATTAGCACTTTCCAACAAATTTGACGTCAGAGGCATGTCCGGGGAACCGAAACCCACCTTGTCCCCTTTTCTAGCACCTCAACCACCCTCTTGTTTACGAGGACGCCGGCTATCGGCTGATAGCCCCCAGCCAAACCCTTGCCGATGGTCTGGATATCTGGCACAACACCCTCGGCCTCCCATGCGTGGAGAGTTCCACTGCGGCCCATGCCGCTCATGACTTCATCCATGATGAGCAACGCACCGTAGCGGTCACACACAGATTTCATTGCTTGAAAATAGCCTGGAACAGCCGGAACACATCCCAGTGCCTCAACGTACCCAGAGATCAGCCCGTGTGACTACAGATTGTCATGGGATGGGTACAGTGGAATTAACTTACAGCTCCAACAACTGGCTCTGCTACGAATGCGCATACATTACCAGGGCCAACCCGAATAAACTCGTCCTCGAGCTCCTTGGCGAGCTTTGCAACATAGGACTCGTCCGATTCGTCGGCCAACTTATCCCTGTACGCAAAGCATGGGGAAATATGCGACACAACATTGTCGAGGAGCATGGGCTTGAAGTTAGCTCGGCGTGCGACATGGCCACCCATGGATAATGCGCCTAGTGTCGTGCCATGATACGATCTCTGGCGGGCAATGTAAAGATGTCTCTGTGGCTCTGCTGGCTTCTTCTCCAGGAAATACTGCCTGGAGAGTTTCATGGCCGCCTCCATTGCTTCGGATCCTGCCAAGCATGTGAGCCTCCAGGACTATGCGTTCAAAGATTGCAAACATACCGCTGCTCACAAGATAGGCCCTTGACATGTGACCATGTGTGGTGTTGATGAGAAACTGGGCCAATTGCTCACATACCGACGTCGTGAAGAAAGTAGAGGGACTGTAGGCAATGTTGCTGAGCTGCCGGATGATAGCCTCAGCTACTCGCTTGTCGCTGTGGCCGAGGCATGCCACGGCGGCGCCCCCGGACGCATCGAAAAGCTTCCGACCGCCGTCAACGACATAGCAGTTTCCCTCGCCACCTACAGTACGGAGGAATTGGCTCTTGAGATCACGATGTAGGACGGCGGACTTGCTCGCGTCCGCGAACTCAACAGAGTTCAGAGCCTTCAGAACCATCTCGTAGGTTGATGTGGTGGGGTCGCAAAGTGACGGGCCTAGACGAGAAACTATGTCTTGATCGTAATGTAAGAGACGATGACACCAGCTTGGAAAGGCGATCTGCAACACCGACGGGGTTTGGTGGCGGTAGAGGGAGTCGTCTATGGTGCCATGGGAAGGGATAGATGCCACCCTCTCCGACATGGCTGACGGGGACCCTTTTATGAAGAAACTTCGGCCCAGGCCCGGTATCTTGCCGGGGTCGGCGGTCCTGCCATGCGAAGTGCCGGTAGGCTGGATCCGCGAGCAATCGACACTATCCGAACACCCCAGCACATCGCGACAATTAGGAGAACCCCGTCGGCTTTCACCTGACACCTCGCACATACTGCTCGGGTTTCCAGCATGCACACACTATGCAGCGCATCTCAGTTAGCGCATTGCCAGTGTGGTGGACCACTTGTCGTGATTGGGACCATGCCGGCGGGACGCAGGACTCTGGACAAGACGGAGGGGCATCCGCCATAGTGGGGGGAGGGGCGTGGCCGCGGGGAGTAGAGTTCAGGGCATGTAAGCGGGAAGAAGTCCTCCATAACTTTCGATGGCTCGCACATGGTAGCGTATACGCAGTACACCGTAGGCCTCCCTACCCTTGACTAGCGACCCGTGATACCTGGCAATGCCCCAGTTCAAGTCCCCTGCCAGGATGAACTCCTGCGTGCACATATGATGTACCGCGCCGCGGTTCGGCAAGCCGACAACACATGGCCATCGAAAGATGACCTTGACCGCGGTACGTGATGTCCCATCGCCTTACAGAAGCCGTCTTCAACTGTGCTCCATTCAATCTGGACGAGCCCCCTTCTTTGCCGTTACCCAGTTATTTGTTGTATTCTGTTGTCGCTCATATGGAAGACGGAACGCGGAAGAGGAACACCGGATGCTGCCATGTAGTTGGCGAGCCCGTGCCGCTGGCTGTTGTGTCACCAATAACTGGGAATTTGCATCGGCCCGCAACTCGTAATCCAGACCATGGCCCCGATTGAAGTGAAGTGGGGTGGTGGTGGATAATGGCCGAGGGTTTTCCACACCGGGTTGGGATGATGGGTATTCGGGATGCCGACTTTTGTCGGGCCGGAATTTGGGCCTCCGTGGTCGTCCCCGTTGCGCTGCGGTGCGGTCTGACCTCGCGAGCGGGAAGGATGTGGCTCAAAGGACATAATCGGGAAGCTTGTTGAACGGCTGCACTCTTTCCTAATCGCTGTAGGCGGCGGCGGTGTTGTTGGATGTTGACATAGACAACGAGCCGCACAGACAAGGCCGAGGGTACCTTAGTGGCCCGGGGTAAGAAGCGGTTGACCGAAACATTATTACCCAGATCGTTGTAGAGAAACCTACATACGGCGCAGTCCATGAATGACACCTCGCATTTCATAAGTATGGGGGCTTACCACAGCCTCCCGCTTTGAGCGACCGGCAGCGGCGCCTGACAAGCAACCTTTTTTTGGCGTGAAGAGGATGCTTATCCGAAGGCTCGGAAACCAGCACTTGCCTAAGCACTTGGTTATGATGGTGATATGTACACTACTTGGACAAAGAAGCTCCCCGCTTCGCATCTGCGATACAACGGTAAAGTAGGAGGAGGGCGAGTGTTGGCCAGGGTGTTCCAAACGGCTGGGTTTTATGAGATAGCGTACATCACTTCATACACTAGCCAGGAGCTATCTGGCGAAACAGTCTGGACCGATCCAATGGCACCGGTATTGATACCAAGGAGAGGTGTGGAGGGTGGCTGGCCCAAGACGGCTGCAATGGAAGGCCAGCATTTGGCAGCTCAACATGCCGGATACTGCAGGCATGCCATTTTCCGTTCGGCGATGTGCTTCGTTCTTCATTGTCACAGCTAGAGCTTGGGTTGATGTAGCACGCCCAGAAGGCAAGCTGACGTGGATAAACAGACACAGAAGGATCAGTCATCATGAAGAGCAACCTGAGCTTTTGTTTCCTGATTAACCCAGAAAGGCTCGCTTCAGCCACATCACCACATCCCAGTACTTACCTAAGTCGAGGGGTCCACTTGAGTACCTGAGATACCTTACCTGCCCGCAATAAGGCACGTGTCTTACATAAGAATTCAATTAACGCGCTTTCCCCGCGCCCCTCTACGAAATCTCCTGTCAAGACGCGCTGCGACCCACCACACACATGCTCCTTTTTTCGTCCAGGTCTGCACCCGCCTCTCGTTGCTGCGCAGCGTTACCGCCTCGCCCCTCCCCTCAACACCACGGCAATTCTTCACTGCGACTTTGTATCGCCACAAAGTGACGCTGACGTGCTCTTCCAACACCCTCTCGTCTTACTTCATTCTCGACGTTATCGTTGGCCTGTCTACCTCTGAACTTCGAAGCTGCCAG